TACAAGATGATCAGAGGATTAGATAGGGTGGACAGTGGGAGCCTTTTTCCTCGGATGGTGATGGCTAGCACGAGGGGACATAGCTTTAAATTGAGGGGTGATAGATATAGGACAGATGTCAGAGGTAGGTTCTTTACTCAGAGAGTAGTAAGGGCGTGGAATGCCCTGCCTGCAAAAATAGTAGACTCGCCAACTTTAAGGGCATTTAAATGGTCATTGGATAAACATATGGATGATAATGGAATAGTTTAGGTTAGATGGGCTTCAGATTGGTTTCACAGGTCGGCGCAACATCGAGGGCCGAAGGGCCTGTACTGTGCTGTAATGTTCTATGTTCTATGTTCTATCCCATGCGTCTTGATGATTGTCATGCTTCTTTCAAACTTCCTTAACACCACAGATTCAGCATCTTTATGAAACTTTTGAAATGTTCCAAGCTGAAAAGTTGAAACATTCTGAAAACAAAAAATTCTAGCGATCACAGCAGGTCAGGTAGCATGCATGGAGAGAAAGCTGATGTCAGCTCTGATGAAGAGTCATCTGGACTCGAAACGTTGGCTTGCTCTATCTCTCTCCATTTGCTGCCTGACCCGCTATGATCTCCAGCATTTCTTTTTCAGTACTGATTCCAGCATCTGCAGCAATTTGCTCCTACATTAAGCTCAAACATTCACCTTCTGCCATCGGAGGTCAGTCTAGCCAAACTGAGGACCTCGAGAGGCCAAATGCCAGTTTTACCTTATTCCAACAACACTGATTTCCACAAATCACCTGAATCCCATGACTGAACACAATACACCCCAAAGAAGGGTCTTTTGGCACAGTGGTAGTGCCCCATACCTCTGAACCTGGAGGCCCATGTTCAAGTCCAAGCTGCACCAGAAACGTGTAGTAGCATCTCTGAACCAGTTGGTTAGAAAATATCTACAGTACGCCACAAAACTTTTCTGTAGATGCAGCTTTAGAAGTTGCCACCTCTGAGCCAACTTTTGTTCCGTTCTGGAACTGAATCAGACAGTGTTAACACTGATGTAGGGTTTGAGCACATTTTCCAGACTGAGACACCAGTTCGAGATTGAAAAGGAAGACAAACACGTATTTATGTAGCAATTAATTGACCCCAGAACATCATAAAATGCTTTCAGCTAACAAAGTATACTGAAGTATCGCTGCCATTGTCAGGTGGGGACATGGTAGGCAATTTGTGCACAGCAAGCTCTCGGAAAATATCATGCAATAACCAGATAATCAGTTTCTGTAATGTCGAATGAGGGATAGATATTGACCTAGGACAGTGGTAAGAACTCTCTGCTCACATTCACCTTAATGAACAGAAGCAGGGCGTTTGTGGAACCTCTTAGCTGAAGGACTGAGGGAGCATTGTACAGTCAGAGATGTCATCTTCTGGTTGAAATGTTAAAAGCAGTTCTAGACTGCCCTCTTGAGGTAGTCATGAGAGATCCTATGGAATTATTTAAGGTAGTGTAGAAAATCCCTATGTTCTGCCCAATATTTATCTCTCAAGCAACATGACTGACTCATTGCTAATGTTGGGACCTTGCCATGCTTAAATTATCTTTTGAATTTGGACTGCAGCAGTTAAAGGCAGCAGCTCATCACCACTTTTTCCAGTGCGATAGGGTTTGGCAGCAAAGGCTGGCCTTGCCAACGACACCCACATCAATGGGGCAAAAAAAAACAACAAAAAGAACTTCTTTGCAGCCAATGAAGAGGAACAAGACTGAAAAAAGGTTGTTTTTAAATACGAAACTTCTACACTCTCAGGAAGCCCTGAAGCACTTCACAACCTATTACATACTTAGAAATAGGGTCACTGTTCAAGTCTAAAGTGGTACTATAATCCACACACACTCAGTAAAGACTTGCAGACTTTTTGACATCCTGAGGATTTGATAGGCAAATGTAACATCCATGGTGTTCACCATCAGTAGGCAAAGTACAGAAAAGACACTACTCCCATCCTGTCTTCTTCCTTGCATTGACACCAAGGTGGTACTACAGCTGCAGTATCACTAAGACTGATTGTTACCTGTACGTTGTGTAGGGCACATAGACCTCTCTTGCTGGAAACTCCAGGATTTCTTTCGTTGGACGGACTCGAGGATCTGGGTATGGTTTGACATGGAGCAGCTCAGGGGACAGGCAGTAGTGTGGACTTTCGGGAGCAGGAGATATATCAATCTTTAATTGAGCTATAAATATAGAAGACATGCTTTTAAGATAACTGGGCAAATCAAAAATATATAGGAAATGTGAAGTTATAGACTCTCCCGGTTTGAACCACTGCAGTCAATCTGATGTGAAACATCCATAGTGATGTTAGGGAGCTCCAGGATTTTGAACTCAGCAACTGGGAAGGAATGGCCAATATAATTCCAAGTTAGGGATGAGTGTTATTGCAGCTGCACTCATCCAGGCAAGTGGACAGCATTCCATCACATTTCCTGGCTTGTGTTTTTGTTGCTTTGGGAGTCAGAGATGAGTTATTCACTCCAAACTTCCCAGTATTGCTTGATATGTACCTCAAATATGTTAACATTCACTCTCTTCACAATCAATGCACAGTGGCAACAGTGCGTATAATCTGCAAGTTATGTTGCGACGTCTCACCAAACTTCCTTCCAAACCTGAATCTCTACCACTTAGAAGAACAAGGACAGGAGACATGTGGAAATACTGCCACTTACAAGTTCCCCTTCAAGCTACTGATCATCCTGACTTGGAATTAGAGCACCGTTCTTCACTATAACTGAGACAAAATCCCAGAACTCCCTTCCCAATGGCGCTACAGGATACATGCACCAGATGGACTGCAGCAGTTCAGAAAGGTGGCTCAATACCATCTTTCTCTAGAACAGAATCCGGATCCCAGAAAAGATATATAAAAAAAAGGGCATTCACTTCCTTCACCACCTGAATTTAGTTCTTTTGTCCAGGTATAGGCCAAGACTGACCGAACAAAGTCAGAAATTGAATGATCCTGGCAGAACTCAAACTGAGAATCAGTGAGCAGGTTATTGCTGACTATATGCTGCTTAATAGCACTGTCACTGACACCTTCCATCACTTTGCTGATAATTGAGGAGAATGATGGGACAGTAAATGACTGGACTAAAACTGTCCTGCTCTCTAGAACACTACATAATTGGCAATTTCCCACATTGTCGAGTAGAAGTTCATGTCATAATTGTGCTGGAACAGCTTAGCTAGAGCACAGCTAGTACTCAGTACTGTTGCCAGGATCTCTGTTGAATCTGGTCCCTTCTGTCACTTCTTGATCTCACATGGAGTGAATCAAGTTACCTGAGGACTAACATCTGTGATAACGGGTGCTCAGGAAGAGAGTAGCACACGTTTAACTTAGTACCAGTCAATGCCAGGTTGAGCAAGTTAAATGATAATTGTTTCCACAAAAGAAGCAAAGTGCTTTGGTTTGTTGCTTTCTCAAAAAGCTATTGTAGTCACTTGCTGCATCCCAACACTCACCCTGCACCTTCTAGCCTTCAGAATTCAACAACTTACCAGTCACTGGTCGCAGTCTCCGCAGAACAGACGAGGGCCTTCTCATGTCTGCCAGGAACTTGTACAAGTCTTCATCACTTAAACGATCCCCTTCCTGATAAAACAATAGGACAACAATCCAACATCAGACTCTCAACTTGAGAATGATTTCTAACATTTCTTAATGAGAGAGTCTGTAAAATTAAGCCATCCTAGTTTCGATGTTGGAGAAATTGAAGAGAAAGCAACACTAGTTACGAATGTGTTTTTTAGGTAACAGTGGGTGTGTTAAAATGCTTGGGTAGGGGTGGGGCAAAGACGGTAGATTGCCCAGGATTTCCCCCTTCAATTCACTTATACCATCATCATTGGAGTGTGTGTTGCTGATGCCAAGGTGGCAGCTACCTGCACAGATGGCAGCGATAAAGTCACACTGTCACAATAAGTGCATTCAGGCTGTTCCCTGGCTACGAGCAACCCCAGACCTGCGAGTAACCACCTTCCATGCTGCACACCTTACCACTTCGCTCAGGGCATGGGTCAACAAGTCAGGCAGAGATAAGGTATGAACAGTTTTGTTGACCATGTCTCTAGGTCAACAATTTTCTAATTCATTTCAGGGGCACATCAGCATTAAAACTTTAATAAAACCACAAATCAGTTCCACTATAGTACAATGTTCTTTGACTTGAGGGAGCCAACATCAGGAATTTGACAATCCACACATGCAGTTGCTGCATCACCCAGTGGCAGTGTTGGTGATACATACAGCCTATTGTATCATGCTGCCATCAATTTCCCTAACAAGATTTGACTCGAGTCCCTTTAGGCGTTCTGCACAGGTATATGTCAAATTCAACCTGCACACCCAAACTTAAACTAGCCTGGTGTCTTGATGTATCACAAAGCTTATGAGCTATGAGGAAAGGTCAGAAATTTAAACTTCATGGTCTGCATCAAACTAAATCAGGGTAAACCAGAGGCTAAATTGGGCTAAACTAGAGGCTAAATCAGACTGAGGGGAACCATAATTAAGTTCCTACCATAGTACAGGCACCAGAAAAGTTTAGTGGATTCCTGTGCAGTACAGTTCTGTGCTTTTATTAAATGGAATGTTCAAGTCTCCCCTTACATTCTGATGAAGACAAAATACTGACGATGTTAGAAATCTGAAACAAATAGAGCACACTGCAGAAATTCAGCAAGTCTGGCAGCATCTGAGGAGAAAGACAGAGTTACTGTTTAGAAAAGACTGTGAGAGTTCTGATGAGAGGTCATACCAGACTTGATATGGTGACTGTTTCTTACTCCACAGATGCTGCAGATACTGTATTTCTCCAGCATTCTCCGTGTTTGATTCCCAGGATATTGTACCAAGCAAGACTGGAATCTCAAACATCAACCTTCGACTGCTCACATGGCCCAATATTCCTTGCAAGATGTTTCAACTTGAGTAATGAAGCTACCTGTGTCATTTGTAAGCAGGGCAGATCATTCAGCAAACAACTTGTGAACTTCAGTCTCCAGGTGAGTAACTGGCCATTTTAAAAAAAAATAAAGTGATGGTTTTCTATAGACTCAAATGAATTACAATTGATTGCCTTCAATCACTTCTGTTGAGCTTAATATTTCTTTCATCGTTTACCTGTTTGAAGAAGTTTGTGACAGTCAGAGTAGCTGGCCGGAAGTTTGTATAATTGCAGGCATCATCTCCAATGCTCATCCGTTCCAATGTTCTTTTCTTCCGATCTGCCCACGTTCCCTTTCGCTCTTAAAAGGAAGCATAATAAAAAGAGCAGTCACTTCCCTTTGTTATAAGCCTACATCCCCCTTTCCACTTAAAACTACTGTTTACAGCAAAAAAGTCACGTGATTTGTGAAGTTTTAGCTTTTCAGCTCGAGTTCTTTAACCATTCTAATGACCCTTCCTCGAATGCTTTTCAAATGTTTATTCAATTCCTTTTTTTACTGTTACAGTCTCTGCTTTAATAGGCACATGCTAAAGCCATTTTCCATTCTAATGACCATCTGTCAAAGATTCTGATCCAGTCTAACATCATAAAGTAATAAATTCATTCACTTGGATTTTCTAGTTGAATGAATCTGTGAAATCAACTTGACAGAAGCATACGGTACAGTTACAAGGTTACATAGGCTTACTAATCCAGTACACATCCAGCTACCTTTAAAGCCCATAGGACATTTTACAGTATCAAAGGCGCAATTTAAGTGCAAACATCGCTGCTGGAAAGATCAATCTTGAAATGCATACTGATACCAATATCTACTTATAAAGATAAATCTGACTTGTGTCCAACAAACTTCACTTAACGGATATGACTATGTAAGGGATTAGCTTCAGAAGGGCAAAACGGAGCCATCTACTGTTTCTCACCACTTTCTGAGTCTGAGGAATCACGCTCCAGGCTCCCTGCGCTGCTCACAATGTTCATGAGGTGGATGGCAGTCCAGGCAAAGGGCATTCGGAATTTTCCCAACTTGTTGCAGAACTGTTCTGCCTGATTCTTCAACTTCTCCACCTTCTCCTTGTGCTGTGCAGGTGACACAAACAATAAAAATGTGTGTTCAGTTATACTCCAGATAAGTGAGCTGAGAGTGAGAAAGTGAATTGGAACAACAGGAAAAGAGAGAGAGATACAGACAGATTAAGACAATAACAGAATTGAAAACTAGCAGAGATGTAGAAGGCTAGCAAAGAACTGCACTTCATCATTTATTATCCTCTTAAAAATATTTAACTTGTGAAACAATGAAAAGTTAGATGCAATAACCATTATATGGACAGCAAAATCCAAGAATCATGAACAAAGTAAATAACTGTTCAATCAGCATTTAATGGTCTTAGTTGGGGGAGGAACATTGGCCAAGTCACTGAGAGAACACTCCTTTTCTCCAAGTAGTGCCATGGGACCCTAAATATACAACTGAACTGCTGGTACAGGCCAGTGATAAAGGGGACTTCTGACAATGTGGAACACCAATTAGGATTACATGGGACTCTGATTATCTTCCCAATCAGAGGCAAATGCTACAAACTGACATGCTGCAAGTAAGGTCTGAAAGCAAAAATGTAGGATTGCAATTGTGACTTACATCAATGTAAGCATTTAACAACCATCTAAACGGTGACACTAAGCACGATGTGCTCCCTGATGCACTTAATATCTCTGTGCTCAGTTTGAGCAGAATGCCAGTGGTGCAGTTTCACCTGCCCCGACAGCCCCGGACGCACCTGTTCCCTCTGTCACCGCTGCAGACGTCAAAATGGTCTTCCTAAGAATCAAACCAAGGAAAACGACGGGCCTAGATGGGGTCCCTGGCCATACATTTTCATCCTGTGCAGACCAGCTGGCAGGAGGTATACACTGACATCTTCAACCTCTCCTTCCTACAAGCCAAAGTCCCTAACTACTTCAAGAAGACCACCATCACCCCCAGTACCTAAGAAAGAACATGCAATGTACTATAATAATTATCGCCCAGTGGCTCTGGCCTCCATAATCATGAAGTGCTTCGACAAGCTGGCCATGGCCCACATTAACTCCAGTCTCCCAGCCTGCCTGCCTCAATCCCCTACAATTTGCCTACTGACGTAACAGGTCCACAGTGGACGCCATTTCCCTAGCCCTGCACTCATCCCTGGAACATTTGCAAAAAAAGGACACCTATGTCAGACTCCAGCTCATTGACTACAGCTCTGCCTTCAACATCATTATCCCCTCCTGACTGATCTCTAAACTCCGAGACCTGGGTCTTGGTTCTGCCCTCTGCAACTGGATCCTCAGCCTCCTGGCCCATAGACTGCAATCAGTGAAGTCAGAGGATTGCACCTCCTCCACAATAACACTCAAAACTGGAGCCCCCCACTCCCAAGGATGCATTCTCAGCCCCCTACTGTACTCCCTGTACACCCGTGACTGTGTAGACAAATTCAGAATGAACACCATCTACAAGTTTGCTGACAACACCACCGTGGTAGTACGGATATCAAACAACGATGAGTCAGAATACAGAAAGGAGATTGAAGGCTTGGTGACACAGTGCGATGATAACAACCTAGTTCTTAATGTCGGCAAAACAAAAGAACTGATCATTGACTTCAGAAAGAAAGGAGGAGAACACATCCCCATCTACATCAACGGTGCGGAGATTGAGAGGGTTGAGAGCCTCAAGTTTCGTAGGAGTGACGATAACCAACCACCAGTCCTGGACTTCCCATGTAGATGCGACAGTCAAGAAGGCACAACGATGTTGCTTTTTCCTCAGGCGGCTCAGGAAATTTGGCATGTCCATAAGGACCCTCACCAACTTCTACAGAAGTACCATAGAAAGCATACTGTCCGGATGCATAATAGCCTGGTATGGAAACCGCTCTGCTTTGAACTGTAAGGAACTACAGAAGTTTGTGCGCACAGCTCAGACCATCACGAAAGCCAACCTCCCATCCATGGGATCTATTTACACGGCTCGTTCCCACAGAAAGGCTGCAACATCATCAGAGACCCATCCAACCCCAATAATGCTCTCCTACAACTTCGTCCATCAGGCAAAAGATACAGAGGTTTGAACACATGCACCAACAGGCTCAAGAACAGCTTCTTCCCTGTCGTTATTAGACTGATGAATGGACTCTCTAATTTCAAATAATGTTGATCTTGTTAACGTTGTTATTGCCTTCTGCTCATCCTGGGCGGTGTTACCTGTATGCCTTGCTCTGTCGAAGTTTTTTCTGCCCTATGATCTGCATGGCCTTGCTTACTATGATCTGCCTGTAATGCTCACAAACAAGCTTTTCACTATACTTAGGTACACGTGAAAATAATTCAAATCCATCAATCAATTACGTAGGCATCATGCAGCAACAGAACGTGGGATTATGCTGTAATTTGCTGAGGTTCCATTCTCATCCTCATTACTCAGCTAAAACATTACTCACAAAAACATTGGAGCAGGATTAGACCATTCACCCCTTTATTCTATTATTCAATATGATCATAGCTAATTCTCTAACTCAACATCACGTTCTGTCACCACCTCCATGCCCCAATTCTCCTCCTATTTAAAAATCTACTAAGCTCAGTCTTCAACATGCTCAATGATGAAACATCCGTACCGCTCTGGCGTAGGGAATTCTAAAGATTCTCAACCCTCACTGAAGAAATCTTCCCTCAGTTCAGTTTTCATGTCATGAAACCATGACACATACTTCTGTAGTCCCCAGGCAGGGGAAACATCCTTCCAGCATCTACCCTGTTCATGACCATAACAACGTTCTGTATTTCAACTGGGTCACCTCTTACCCTCCACGTGTACCAACATACATGATACATGACAGTACTGCAAAGCATTTTTGCAGTGAAACTTCCAGCAGCCAATAAAGTACATAAAGAATTATCTACAATTTAAGTGATTAGGTAGACATATGCTCTCCTTACCTTGGTAGAATCAGACTCCTTCATAACCATGTAGGGTTCAGCACACTCCCCAATGTCACCCTGCTGCAGAACCTTTTCAAGCTGCATTGGGGAAAAAGTTCAAAACAAGAACTGTTCTAGATTAAATACAGCAAAAAAGATCAGCAGCCTCAAAGAGGGTGAAAACTCAAACAACAAAGTAAGAATTCTAAATCCAAGAGATTTACTTTATTAAAAAGGTAGGTGTTTCACAGGGAAGCTCCAAGTTTACCTTAATAACCAGGAATATGTCAGTGGAAGGATATGTTATTGAGAATATGGTGGACCTGGCCATCGTTGATATTGCAGCATGGGGAATATGAGTTCGGAGTAAGCCCTTCATTTGGTCAGAGTTCAAATCAAAATAGAAGTTCTCAGAAATCTACAACAAACAGCAGGAAAAAAAATCTCGTTAGCTTAATCAAAAAGTTTCAACTAACTACATACAATGAGTTAGTCTAAAATAAGGACTGCACTAGACAATAAGTGATTTTGACATCGGCATAAGAACATAAGAAATAGGAGCAGGTGTAGGACATTCAGCTCCTCAGGTCTGCCTTGCCATTTAATAAAAGAATAGCTGATCTGCCTCAACCCTCAACTCCACTTTTGTGCCAGATCAGCATAGTTGTCAATTCTCCGATATTTCAAAACTCTTTCTACTTCCTCTTTAAATACTTTCAGTGATCCTAGCCTCCACAATTCTCTAAGGTAGAGAATTCCAGGCATTCACTGCTCTCTGGGAAAAGAAATTCGCATTTCCGTTTTAAATGAGTGCCTACTTATTCTATAATTGTGTCCCCTAGTTTGACATTCCACCATCTTGAAAACATCTTTTCAACTTTTACACTGTCAAGCCCCCTCAGAATCTTATACATTTCAATAAGATTACTTTTTATTTTTTTTACGTGCTAATGAATAAGGGCATAATCTGTTGAGTCATTCCTGTCAGAAAACATCTGACAATGTACAATATACAATACAACTTACAGACCACAAAACCCTGACACACCCAATATAATAGAGCACCGTTTTCAGAATTGATAAATGCACCAGGTAAATCCAGTCGGAATTTGACCTTAATCATCTTATTGCCAATGTCAATTCTCACGGTTAAGTGGATGTTGTCATCTACCAGCACTGAATTCAGTTCTTGGCAAGCCCAATTAATTCTCAGCTCCCCACGAGGAGCAGCAGTCTGTCTTAAGGAATCAACTCAGCACATCCCACAGCACAGCTTCAAGAAGATACAAAAATACGAACTCGGAGCATCAGTAAGCGCATTCAGCACCTCGAGCCTGCTCCGCCACTCTATTAAATCACAGCTAAACTTCTGCCTCAGTGACACTTTCCTACTCAATTCCCCAGCCCTTGAAGCCTTTAATAACTATCAATTGCTGTCTGGAACAAACTCAATGGCTGAGCGTCCACAGCCCTCTAGGGTAATAGACAATGTCCCCTAGCGCAAGAAGTAAACAAAAAGAAAATACAGCATTGCTGATGATAGTAACAGAAAAGAGAGTGCACTTAGCACTGCTCCTCGGAGCGCCAGGAACTCAGGTTTGATTCCAGCCTCAGGTGACTGTGTGGAGTTTGCGCATTTTCCCAGTGTTTGTGTGGGTTTCCTCTGTGTGCTCCGAATTTCTCCGACAGTCCAAAGATGTGCAGGCTTGGGTGGATTGGCCATGCTAAATTTCCCACAGTGTCCAGGGATGTGCTGACTAGGTGGATTAGCCATGGGAAATGCAGGGTTACAGGAATAAGGTGGGTTGGTCTTCGGAGGGTCAGTGCGGACTAGATGGGCCAAACGGCCTGCTTCCACACTGTAGGGATTCTATGATACTTTAGAAAGCCTGACAATAAGTGATAATTTCCCAGTCGATACTGGAAGTAAAATTCAATAAGAATGGTCCCTTACTGAGAAAATACTGATTTCACACAGTGTGAATAAATATAAGTGAAGGAAGCTACGAGAACAAGCCACTTACCTTTTTCTTTTCCTTCACATCATACAGGGCAAGAACACCAAATATGGGCTCGATTTCAATTTCAAACCTTTGATGGAAGAGACAAAAATATCACTCAGAGGGAAACAAGTTGCTATCGCATTCAAAGTACACCAAGAATCCTTTGGAATAAAACAGTAAAAAATAAAATCCACCAAAGGTTGACAAGAAATTGAAACACTTCTTACCCTGTATAAATGGGAATAATTATACCTTTACATAGGATCAAACACATTTGTCTCTGCCTAGATGTCTACATAATTAAGTTCATGCAGGACTTGGGAAAGAAAGCTCTGGAATCAGTCTGAAAAGATAGAAAACAGTTCTTGCGCCTATGAAAGTTTGGGCTGTCTCAATTTAGATTCTAGAAGGCAAAACTTCAAAGTTCAACGCCCAAAGTAGTAGTTTAATTGGCCAGAGCAGCTCAGCAAGGAGAAACATGTCGTTGGCTTTTTTTTCCTGTGACTGTGTTTGCGGCTCATTTTTGAATTTTAGTGGACACTAAATCTTGACATAACCTATTCTTTACCTTCAGAAATTGCTGGAGACACTCAGTAGGACTGGCAGCATCCCTGGGGAGAAAACAGTTTTGTTTTGAATCCAGTGACTCTTCATTAGAAGTGATACCTGATAGCTGCTAAGAAAAAGTGGCATCTGTGCTGAAGACAGACAGGGTAAGAGTGTGAGATATGAAAGGGTAGGCAGATAGGGAGATTATTGAAGGTAAGCCAGAACAGGAGAGAAGCTGAATGAGTGATAACTAGAGCTAACAGGAGGAGAGAATGGGTAGGCTGTGCTGAAAAGTAGCCCATGTAACATGATAATGAAACTAAGAGTGGGTGAGAATAGGTTTGTGTGCTGCACGTAATGCATGTCACATCAGGGCTAGTGTATGGGGATGAGTGAAAAAACAGGGAAAGATGTAACCAGGCTCTAAAGTTATTGAACTTGATGTTGAGTTCTAGAGGCTGGAGGGCCCAAGCGAAAGATGAGATGCTGCTCTTCAAGGTTGTGCCGAGACTCGCTGGAGCTCTGCAACAGGCCTGTGACAGAAACGTTGGTGCAGGAACACAGTAGTGCGGTGACTCGGCAGGTGACTGGAAGTTTGGGGTCATTTTTACGGACAGAATGTAGGTGTTCTGCAAAGTGATCAGTGGGTCTATGTTCCAACTCCCCAGTGCAGAGGCAGCCACATTGTGACCAGCAAATACAGTAGACTTGATTGAATGAAGTGCAGGTTAATCACTGTTTCACCAGGGAGGCACAGTTTGCGCTGTGGAGTGAGGAGGAGGTTACTCCTTCTGCGATGGCACGGGAAGCTGCCATGGGAGTGTGGGGAGCTGTTCAGAATGGAGTAGGAATGGATCAGAGTGCCCAGGAGGGAACGGTCCCAATGTGTGTCTGCTGGCAGCAACCCACTGGAGGTGACAGAAACAGCTGCTTACAATCCTTCATATGTGAGTGCTGATAGGGTGAAGACCAGTCAGACAGTATCGTTGTTGTGAGAGGGAAGAGAAGTGATGAAGGCAGAGTGCGGAGGTAGGTCAGACAGGGCTAAGGGCCCTGTCAACCAGAGTAGCGGGGAATCCTCAGTCGAGGCAAAAGGGGGACATTTCTGGGGCATACCTTGTGGAAGGTGGCATCATCAGAACAGATGTGATGGTGACAGAGAAACTGGGAGAATCGAACAGAGTCTCCACAGGATATGAGGACGTATAGTCCAGGTAACTGTGGGAGTCAATGGGTTTGCAATAGATATCGGTGGCCAGCCTATCCCCGGAAATGGGAACAGAGATGTAGAGGAAGGGAAGGGAGGAGTCAGAGATGGACCAGGTGAAGGTGAGTGCAGGGTGGAAAGTAGAAACAAAATTGATAAATTTTTCAATTCCAATGTGTTGGGGAACCAGCACCCTGAGCTTCCAGTTACCTGTCACTTTAACATACCACCTGCGTTCCCACATTAACATTTTTGTCTCAGGATTGCTGCAGTGGTCCAGTGAGGCTCAACACAAGCGTCAATCATCTCATCTGAGGTCTTAAGGACCCAAAATGTTAACTCCGATTTCTCTCCACAGATGCTGCCAGATTTCCTGAGCTTTTCCAGCAATTTCTGTTTTTGTTTCTGATTTCCAGAATCCACAGTTTTTGGTTTTTATCTCATCTTTTGCTTGGAGACCTTGCAACCTCTCAGACTCAACACTGAACTCAATAACTTCAGAGCCAATTACCTCCTTCCATGTTTTTACCCACACCCACACCCTGACAGGGGTCACTTTCAGCACAGCCAAACAATTCTCACCTATGTGTTAGGTCTATTATCACAAGGGTTGCTTTCAAAATAGCCCACACATTCGCTCCCGCTCTTAGCTCTCACTATCAATTATTCAGCTTCTCTTCTATCCTGGCTTACTATCAACAATCCCTGTCTGCCTACCCCTTTTATATCTCTCTGTTTCTGGGCTCCACTTTCAATTATTGGCTCACCTCTGCTCCTCCTCCTACCCACCCCCACTTCTCCCCAATCATCAATATAAATACCACTTTCCCTTGCTGTCATGAAGAAGGGTCACTGACTTGAAACTCTGTTTTCTCCCCATAGATGCCACCAGACCTGATGAGTTTCTCAAGCAATTTGTGTTTTTTCAGATCTCCAGCATCCTCAGTCCTTTGTTTTATTTTATTGTTTTATTCTATTCTATAACGTTCCCTGGAACTGAATAATGGCAACATTGGTGATAAAAATGGAAATTAACCCAAATACTGATGCCCTGCAACTTGATGAGCACAACAGTCATGAAAAGAAACCAATAGGTTTACTTGCAACTGAGCTAGAGTAAATACTCAGAGGAAAGAGGAGTAACTTTAGGAATTCTCAACTTACATGGACTGACTCGTTGAAAAGCAATTCAGTACAAAACAATAGCTGAAGACCCTCATTTCATTCACTATACAGCAACATCTGCAAGTGCATACGTGAGCACTGGAAAAGGACAGGATTGGTGCCCCCGCAATGACCCCAAAACCAAACAAACCTATTAATTTGCACTGCGCTGAGCTCACATCCAAATAGCTGCTGAACCTCAGCATAAGATGGCATGTTCAGTCGTACAGATGAAGGAGGCAAAATATATAGTCTATTTCATTAACATCATAACATTGTTGGAAAGGTTTAAAAAATGAATGAGACTGAGAATTGTCTGACTGAATTCTACGTGAATTATCACAAACAATTTTCTGGCTTTTGCATCTGATTTCTGATACACTTAATGTTTACACTACTTAGCAAACAACACCCAAGCCCACCTGCAATATCACTTCCCATGGGCTAATATATATACACCCCCATTTTGTGTCTATCAATACTGCAGGAGAATGTGACAATTACTTCTATGCTGTAAAGAGGCCCTACTCACTTCAATGACAGGCATTTTACAAGGATTCTTTGTCCAAAATGTTCTTTTGGGACTTCAGGAATGGTGCATCGTTCAATCGCTTCATCCTGTCAGTAGAAAAATACATGTAGTATGTCATACCATAAATACCTCATTGGTTAGTGTTCTTTTAAAGCAACAGTGATTAATGCGGAAAATCATGGCCGCATCTATTACCTGTTGCTAACTGCAAATTCTATTTGGATATCACGGCCAGCACCATCTCCCAATAATGTGTTCAGTGACCCCTGTCGACCAGTAGGACTTGATATAATTGTTGACAAGTTTTTAAATCATCAATGCTTAGATCAACATAGAGAGAGCTGAGTTCCAGCTTCAACACGTACAATGAGCTGAATGGCAAGTGCAACTCAGGGAATGGAGAGTTATACTAATCAGTGGAATGGTGGCTGTGTTTCAAAGTTTAAGTATTTATCTATTACATGGGGCTTGTATTGTGCAGATAGTAAGGAGGTTGGTTAGCTCAATTCGCTGGACAGCTGGTTTGCAATGGAGAGTGACACTGACAGCACAGGTTCAATTCCTGTACCAGCTAAATGTCCCACCTTCTCAACCACGGCTCAGGCAAGGGACAAGGTGACCCTTAGGTTAAACCACTACCAGTCATTTCTCTCAAAGAGCTTCCCTGTGGTCCTCTGGGTCGATGGCAACTTTACCTTTTGCCTTCATTGCACAGAATAATCACCCAATTCCAAAAGCTACACATACAGAAATAACACAGCCTCTCAGCCAAGTTGTTTATACTTACTGAGTAGAGACCGTCCAGAAGACATATTGATATTCAACAGACCTATGAATGATGTGGCAAATACACCACTCAAAACACCAGCTTCTAAACATGCCAGATGTCAAGGACAAGATTCCATCATCACGGAGGACTGACATCACTACGTCACCTTCTGCATCTATTTCTTAAATGAAATCAATTTTCTGCATTGTGGCTTTGATTTATTTTGAAAGGACCAAGCATGGAGGAATGTGGCTTCACTCTAAGTAACAGGAACCTAGGTAAGAAAGTTCAGGTTTAGGTTTTGAAAACTCCACTTGAGGCCCTGAGTGAAACAGGAATACCCATCAAAACACCATTTATGGTCTTTCTGCGATGGTATTGTCACTGCAACAACATCCTGAAATGATAGTCGGAAGGTTCCTTTGGCGAATTTCAAGATATTTTTAATCAGACCAAATTCATTGTTGAATCCCCATCACTCCTCACATGTGGGATATTTCACAGGTGGCCTTTAAATAGACACTAACTATTTCGTCCACAAGATGGTGCCAAAGCTCCCACTGTTAGAGACAGCAATTGAATTTGGGATTAAAAACTCTTGAAAAATGGGATTCAGGGCAACTCGACCCTGGTCAACAGTTCTGTAAAAGTGGCATTGTATAATGTATGATACCAAATATCAGGTGGCAGCAAAACAGAACTCAAAGTTCTGCAAAGCAGTTTAAGAAGTGGTATTTTTGATGGTTTCAGTTTCCTTCTTGATTTCTGAATTTACCACTCTGCCATAACATTGGCAATAGGCTTATGACTCTACACCATGTAAGCTAACTGCCGGTGTTTTTCCTCCTCCTGCTGCTCCATTTAAGAAGTGCATCACCAGCAATCTGCACTTTCCCCACTCACCTTAGCTGAAATCAGGCTTGAGGCCACATGTTACTGTGCTTCTCTGGCTTAGTTTGAAACCTAAGATCTTGTATAATCCTTAGAAGACAGACAGGATCTTTCAAGTGAAACTAGGGAAGAATGGCAATGATGCATCTTTGAAGCATCTTCACATTACAACAGGGCTCGGAATGTGTGGAAGGGCTTCAGATGGAGTAACTTGGTCTGAGGCAATACAAGTCCATTAAAATAAATTAATAGGAAGTTACCAACTTTCAAGTGGGGCTTGATGGTAGCAAAAATCTCTGATGGCTCAGTGGGCAAATATACAGACCAATATGAAAGTTAGCCACATTGGCCAGGATAAACTCAATAACAACCTGCTTTTGTGCAGAATATTTTTTAATATCCAGATGTGCTCTTACATACAATGAATGGTTCTTTTTCTCCCCCATTTACCAAATCAACCATGCTATTTTTTTCATTTATTACGCACAAATAAATCACCTGTGTCTGTACTTGAATAAATTTACATGCGAAGCCCAGTAAGGGCAATGCAAACCATCCAGGAGGGGTTTGGGGGGGATGGTGGTGGTTGGAGGATTTGTGTGGGTTGATGCTAGTTTCTTAAGCACTTCAGCTCCCAATTACTAACCAGTGAGTCATATTGAATGAGTGTACAGATGTAAGTCAATGATGGGCATGCACTCCATTATGATGTCCTTTCGGTTCAGATTAAGTGGAAGCTCCAAGTACTGAGTAATCAGAAGATTTTAAGGTCACTGGATCATGATTGGACGTTGGAAGAGCATCAGTTGAGCTGAGCAGCAATTGGTCGATCTTTCTGCTGGCTTTAGCCTAAGGCCAATTCGGTGTACAGCAACCAGAGCTATAACCACTGTAAGTGCCAAGCCCCAGGCCAGAGTGCACAGAACACAGTCAGGGTTACTGTGAAGAAGGTGGAGGAAGGAACATCGGTCGATTGGACCTTCTTTGTGATGAGGATCGGTGTGGGCTCCAAACCGTAGATATTTTCTGTCTGCAAGATTTCAGTCTTTTAGAGCAAAGAGTTAAACTCAAACAAGTGTGGCAGACTGACACATTCCAAGGTCCAGGGCTATGTGCTGACGGATGTGCTAAAGTTTTGGGCAGCTGCCGCCAAGGTGCAGTGGGGAAAGACCACCATCTAAGGTGGGTAAATGGGGGTTCATTCAGTTATCGGACCCTCCCCATTCTTCAAATATATGTAAATATAATCTTGTACAAGAAAGAATTGCCTTGGTTTGGTTTGCTGGATAGAGTCAAACACCAATGTTTGTTCTGTTTCTTCATATGCTACTGTACAGTATGAAGAGGAGTGGTGAGGACAGAGTGCGAGAGATGGGTCAGACAGGGCTAAGGACCCTGTCAACCACAATAGCAGGGAATCCTCAATTGAAGAAGATGTACATTTCTGAGGCATCCCCTGCAGTAGTTGGCATCATCGGAACACATGCGACGGAGATGGAGGAACTGGGAGAATGGAATATAGTCTTTACAGGAAGCAGGGTGTTAGGAGGTATAGTCAAGGTATTTGTGGGAGTTGGTGGATTTGTAGTAGATATTGGTGGCCATCCTATCCCCAGAAATGGAAACAGAGATGGACCTTGCGAAGGTGAAGGTGCAGCGGAAATTGGAAGCAAAAAAAAAACCGATAAACTTTTCCAATTCTGGACCAGAGAGGGAAGCAGCACTGATGATATCATCGATATATCGGAGAAAGAGTTATGGGTGAGGGCAAGAATAGGACTGGAACAAGGAATATTCCACATAAAGAGTGAGTGTCTAGCCATCCTTCAGCAGCTCCCACTGCTACTGTCAAATGTCCAGGCCTGTTCTGGCCAGAGGCTTCAGCTGCATCATTGATCTGGAGGGGCTGACAACAAATTGGATGCTACGTCCACATTCCTAATGAGAACAGATAAAGTCACTAAACCGCATGAAATCTTCATTTCCCCTGCAGATGGAGCGCAGCACAGATAGATCAGGTCATAACCAGATGGGTCTATCTGCTCAAGGATGAACTTCCTGTTTATTTCCCAAGCGTTTTCGGTCAGATCCACTGACGTCAAGCCAGTGTTCTTCTCTGACTACTGCATCCTACTGGCTGACTGTCACATACAGGATGACCAGCGGGCTGGCAAGGGAACATGGAAGTTGACCATGAAACTGTTGACCCCAGAACACAATGGAGGAGCTCAAAAGGGATCATCAAGGTTGGAGAACTGTGACACCCTTCTGAGAGTCTCCAGCGGACTGGTGGAAAACAGTCAAGGTGAACATAAAAAGGTTCCTCATTCTCAAAAAGGTGTTCAGAAGGTGAGAGAGATTGGTAAAATCGTCAAATCTCCAGTAAAGCATGCAGAACCTACTCCTACTGCAAACGATGGGGCTCGATTTCAAGGAGAATTTCCAGGAGGTGAAAATCCAGCAAACCTTGCTCTTCGTCTTGGAGGTCTCTAAGATCATCTTTCAGACCACGGTCCGATGGACATGTGCATGCATTCCTTCTTCCAGAAGGTGCACAAGGAGAACTCTATACTCAGCAGCCTGAAGGAAGAAGATGGTGCTGCAGCATCATCTCAGTCTGACATCCTGAGGATCAGCAAATCCTTTTATGCCAGACTGTATGACACAAAACCCACAGATAGCACAGCCTCCCAGTCATTCCTGTCCTCTATCATGGAGGTCTTAGACAACAGCACGTGGGAGAGGCTGGACCAGCCATTATCCCTCATAAAGTTGACCAAGGTCCTTAAGTCTTTTGAGAAGAATAAAACTCCCAGAAGTGACAGTTTACTGGCCAAGCTGTACTTGGCTCTGTGGGACCTGATTGGCCAGGACCCGCTGAAGGTGTACGATAGCATACTTCTGGCAGGTAGCTTGTGCAAATCATGAGGAAGGGTATCACCACCTTCATCTACAAGCAGAAGGGGGAAGAGGGAGGAAATTAGAAATTGGCGACCAGTCTCACTGCTGAATGTGCCAATGTCTGGAAGATCATCAGCTCGGTGAAAGACACTCTGGTTTGCCCAAACTTGATGGTCTTCCAGTGTTGACTTTGACCAAGTGTTACAGATGGAAGATTCCAAGGTCCAGGACTATATGCTGAGGGATGCGCTAAACCTTGGAGCAGCTGCTGTCAAGGCACAGTGGGGAAAGATCATCATCTAAGATCTTTCTGTTTAAGTTTAACCAAGGTCTGTTCAGTTGTCAGACCCTCCCAGTGCATCAAAATGAACATAAATAGTTACCTACATAAGTAGGAAATGCCTTTTTTGCAACTACAGAGAAACTCTGAGAAATGTCAAAATTCCAGCGTTTTGTTTTATTTCTCTCTGTAAAGACTGCACAGAACTGATTTAGAACTTATGTACTTATAAATGATTTTTATGAATAAAGTATATTTTTAAAATATCAAACTAAACAGCTGACCTTTGGCATCTGTGTTACAGTGACGGATGAGCTAGTTGAAGGTTAATGGCCATATATCTGAAACCATTGCCTTCAGTACAGGGAGCTAAAATGTGCCTGCAACATGACAATTTTATAAGATCACAGCACAACATTACACAGGAGGCCCAATATTCAACCCATCAAATACCATCCCCAGCTTCTTCTGAAGTCCAATCCAATCTCACCTATGTCCCACATTCTTGCAACTTTTGTCCAACAAATATCTGTCCAATGTCTTCTGGAAAGCTGCTACCAAATCTGGTTCCACTATGCTATTCACATTTGTCAACAAACTTGATAGCAAATTTCTAAAGGGACTGACTCTGCAGAAAGTGGACCATTCTCAATGCCTGCAACTGCTGCATTATATCATTATATTGTATAAAGCAGCTGTTTTACCTCATCTGATGGTGGGAAGAGTGCCAGCACTTCTCGGTGCCTATTCTCTTTCCTCTGCTCCCCATTGCGTCTGTCCACTTCTTCAGGGGCTGTGCGTTCCAGGAGGCTGGGAAGCAGCAAGTCAGCAGTTGAGTTCTTCAGGTCGAAGATACTGGAGGCCCAGCTGCCCCGTGGTGTGTCGTCCAGAGACACTGATCTTCGCTTCAACTCATCCTACCAATGAAAGTGCAACAAGTCATTTGCAATTTTTATCTATCATGGATTGCCCCTCATGCTCCCCTTCCAGCTCCAAATTCCTATTGAAGGAAACAGATGAAACCGTGATAGAAAAAGCTGGAAAACAGTCAGTATCTGTAAGGAAATGGAAAACACTGACATTTCAGGTAAATGAGGGTCCACAAATCATAGAACCATATATTCCAGGTAACCAGTGGACCCAATGTATCTGTCCTGTTCCTCTAACAGTTATTCAATTTGTCTCATTCCTCTGTTCCAGATCCATACAATTTTAAATACTACTCAACTCTTTTGAAAGTTAGGCTTGATACATAACAGTTTTTCTTGCTAAGTGCCGCCTGACTTTACATTGATTTCTCAAGTTATATTGTCCTTTTAAGTGATTCGATATGGGCTTAAAGCCGAGCATCTGCAATATTTAGTTTCCTTGCAACAGACACATCTTCTGCTTCAACTACTTCATACCAGCTACTCCTTGCTCCAGGTGCTAGAAGCTGCACAAATCAAGCATCAGAGACAGCTCTCCCAATATTGGAAATGCTGATCTTTGGTGGCCACCAGAATGATGGCAAGGAACTAACCATCAGGTAACCACTGGTCTAAACTTCCTCACTTGAAAGAGTATTGGAACAAGCAATTAACTGTAACGTTTAAATATTCCTTCTTCTCAAATACCTGATCATCCTGGCTCGTTCGGTCATCAACAACTTCATCAGACTCAAAGATCTGCTTGGGCAAGCCCCGCTGTCTTTCACGCTGTTTCTCCAATGTGTTGGGGTTAAATGCAGTGCTCAGCTTTTGATACCTTTTTCAAAAACAAAGTTATATCAAGAGTTATAAGAGAAAGAGAAGCGAAAGAAGGGAATGATTGACAGACTTAGTCACAGCCTGGGTGCACATGGGTCAATCTTCTATTCTCATCCTTGACTCTCCCTAACTTCAGAAAAGTCAAAGGGCAAAAATACAATCAAAATGTTAAGATCACAGAGACTTGTAGCCGTAGTTTTAATACAGATTGCATGAAATTACTAAAGATACTGATCACAGGTTTAAAACCACTCAAACATTTAGACATAAAGAAAACATTTGATCGCTGCTTTCTCTAAATTTGAGAACTGTTCTGCTCCAGGCTGAAGCTAACACTGGACAACTCAGGTTCCAGGTTGAAACATGAGGCAGCAAATAGTCTTTAACAAAATAATTCAAATATATTTCACAAAAGAAAAATGAAGCAATTAAGAAGACACTTTAGAAAATCTTAGCTTCAGCCTAATTCCCAACAATATTCTTTTACAGAAACTCAGAGAAATATCACTCGTATCCGAAGTTTTGCAGTTTTTACTTATCTGACTTTTTCCAGTTCTCAGTCTTGCATTACTGAGACAATTTCATGACATTTCTCCTGTCCTGATGGTCTGAACCTCTTTTCAGTCCTGGCAACTTGAAAACTTCTATACAAATTCTCATAAACTACAACTCTTCTTCTCAAGAGAAACTGCTCTTCTAAAGTCAACAGCAATTCTGCTTAAATGAAGTCAAGCTAAACAAAATTTTGGCCTATTTACACTCTGTCATTAACCCAGCAGTATAAATATTTCATCTATTAACACTGCAAATCTCCTACTACGTACTTAGCTGAATCACATAATTTCTTGGAAATGATGAATCTTGATTACCATCCAAATGGCTCCTCAACAAAGTTACCTTCACAGAACTAAAACCAAAATCCATATGCCTCTACTTTATAAATTCTAGTTTGTAATGATAATATTTGTTATACACCATTATCACAATATTGATACAGCATCAAAGCTGAGTTCAGATTCGGTGGGCTGAATGGCCTCCATCTGCACTGTATGGATTCTATAAATAGCATATGTTAAGGTGCAAGGTTTTGACTTACTGAAAAAGTATATTAAACTAATCCAAAATTTGAAATAAAGAATAGAGTCATACAATGTGGAAACAGACCCTTTGGTCCAACTAGTTACATTGACCATGTTCCCAAACTAAACTACTCCACTTGTCTGCATTTGGCTCATATCCCACTAAACCTTTCCATTCATGTATTTATGCACATGTCTTTTAAACATTGTAACTGTACCTGTATCCACCATTTCCTCTGATAGTTCGTTCCACACACAAACTACTCTCTGTGTAAAAAGCTTGCCCCTCATGTCCTTTTCAAATCTTTCTTCTCCTCACCTTAAAAATATGCTCCCTAGTTTTGAACTCCTCCACCTTAGGGAAAAAACCTTTGCTATTCATGTTATCTATGCCTACCATGATTTTGTAAACCTCATAATTTTATAAATCTCCATAAGGTCATTCGTCAAGCTCTTATGCTCCAGTGAAAAAAGTTCCAGCCTATCTTTATAACTCAATACAAATAACTCCTAACTGGATTCCCAAGTTACAGCCACTATGAAAAAACAATACTCTCTGTTGCTTGGAATCGTACTTTGCACAAAAGATGATGGTTGTGGTTGTTGGAGGTCAATCATCTCAGCTTCACGACATCACTGCAGGTGTTCCTCAGGGTAGTGTCCTAGGCCCAACTATCTTCAGTTGCTTCATCAATGACCTTCCTTCCTTCATAAGGTCCGAAGTGGAGATGTTTACTAATGATTAGACAATGCTCAGCACCATTTGTGACTCCTTACATATCAAATCAGTCCATGTCCTAACACAAGAAGACTTGGACAATGTCCAGATTTGAGTTGACGCATGGTATTTCACTTCATGCCATGCAAGTGCCAGACAATAATCATCTCCATCAAGACAGAATCTAACCATCACTCCTTGACAATGAATTATATCACAATTGCTGAAGATCCCCATTACCAACATCCTAGGTGTTACCATTGATCATAAATTGAACTGGACTAGCCATTTGAATATGGTTGCTTTAATAGCAGGTCAGAGGTAAGAATTCTGCAAAGAGCAACTCACCTCCTAATTCTCCAATCTACATGGCACAAGTTGAGACGTGATGAAATATTTCCCATTTTCCTGGATGAATGCAGCTCCAACAACACAAGAAGCTTAACATCATCTAGGATAAAGAATCCTGCTTGATTGCTGCCACATCCATAAACATCCACTCCTTCACTACCTGTGCACAGCAGCAGCAGCAGTGTATCATGTATTAGATACACAGCAGAAATGCACCAAGGCTCCTTGAGCAGCACGTTCCAAACCCATTATCACAACCATGTAGGAGAAGAAGGACATCAGATACATAGGAACGCCATCAACTGCAAGTTCCTCTCCAAGCCACACACCATCCTGACTTGGAAAATATATCACTGCTCCTGAGGTGTCACTGGGTCAAAACTCTGGAGCTCCTTTAATGGCATTGCGAATCTACCTAAATGTAATGGACTGCAATCAAGGCAGCATCTCATATTCTCAAGAGCATCTAGAGATGGGCAAGTAAATGCTAGCCCAATCGGTAATGCTCAGATTCTCTGAATGAATAAAGAAAAAAATGACTTACAACGTCTGCTGCACTCTTCAACACAATCTGGGTTGCACAATACGTTATCATGTGCAGATACATTTCTCTCATAACGTAAATAAACATCTTATGAAGGTCAAATGTTGAACTATGATGAAATGTTGCTTCACACTATACGTTTGCCAATCACAACAGATTAGCCTTTTGTGCTTTATTATTTTACAAATACAAAATTAAGAGTAGATCCAAGCCTCAATAACAATTAAAACCCACATATTCTCCAATGTTACTTCTGCTCTCTTTATCTTCCTCCTGAAAGTCATCTAGTCATTCAGCTTCCTCAGTTCTCTATCAATAACAAACAAGCAAAGAAAATTCAGTTAATCACTTAGTCAACAAAAAGTAAATCAAAAGAAACACACTTTCTATGAATGATGATCCAGTCTTCAGTGTAGATTTGTACTGAGTCCCTCACACGAGGATCCATTCCCCTGAAAAAGGATAGATTATTTAATATAAATGCAGCGTTTTCCTCAGGATCAGTATGTTTCTTTTTCATTATTTGCCAAAAACCAGCACCATGGCAATCCTGCAGTTAGTGCTTAAATTTATCAGGCATTGACTCATATGCTCTTTCATCAGGACTTACATATCACTGGCCACTGAATGAGGCCGCCAACATTTGAATTATGTACTTAGATATTCACAAATTAGCTCTGTTAAAGAGCTAGTCAGGACACATAACTTAACTGGAGGCACATGCATGAACTGTTAAGGTAGTCATTTGGTTGAGTGACCCATTGCCGTCCTGCAGGTAATGGAACTTTGTATCGTACAAGCCAGATGCTTCAATAACTTTACCCTTTACATAAAGAATGGGGTGACTATCAAGCAAATTTGGAGCCACAAAAGGACAAGTGATCAAATCCTTGATCAAAAATTAGGTTTAAAGGTCTGTCTTGAAGTGGGAGAGAAAAGGATAGAGTGGTGAAAAGGCTTAGGGAGAAGATTCCAAATTTTAGGGCCTTATCAGTTGAAGGCACTGCCACTAATGGTGGAGTGCAGACTGAGAGACTTGCAGCAGTGCACTTACCTTGGGGTTGTAAGGTTGGAAGTCAAGGAGGAGGGGAGGAGGACATATTGTTGGTGTGATAAGCAAAAGGGAGATGTTGAATGCCACACTCGAGAATAAGTAAATCTGAAACCATCTGGCACACCATGCTTCATCTGGATTCCTGCTGCTGTTCATCAAGGGCCAAAAAGAGCAGATGCAGAAAACTGAGTTACCTTGGGACTTGCAAATTGTGCAAGGAGACATGAACTAATTGAAGAGTGGAGTCCTTTTTTAAAGTGTGTTAACGACAGACATGTAGAACTACTCACATTTCCTCTGGAACCCCAGGCTCCACAGTTCGACATTCTCGTGGCTCGTATACTATCTCAATATCATCTGCAGGAAACTCAAGTAGATCTCGGAGTGGGCCTGGTTCTGGGGCTGGGGGATGTGTAGTCAGATATTCCTCAAAGTCTACGGGCTCCACCACTTCAGAAAGGGGTACCTGTGAGAAACAGCAAATATGGTACTGTGATTTCAGTAAAGTGGTGAGTAATTTTAGCTTGTGATGAGAAACATCAGAAAAATGATGGCTTACATTTAAAACAATGGAGACCAATGTGATCTGTATTCTTGACAGGCAAGAGAATTGAGAATTATAGAAGCAAGACAGTCAGATGGAGTTGATTCATATCTGCCACGATCACCTTATCACTGTGGACTGAAGGAGCACTGGCGACAGGTGATGAAACAACTTGGACCAATACCTATTCACTTTAACACTATCTCACAATGCTGGCAGGAAAAGTGACCTATAGGACTCACTGCAGCAATTTACCAAGATAATTACAGCAGCTGCTCCTTTTCCTGTGGTCTCCACCACCTGAAGGTGCACATCAACCTGAATTAGACACGAGGAAAAACATCTTTTTAATGTAACCGGTAATTATTGGCTGCCAAAGGATTGTGGCGGCAGATTCAATCGCGAATTTGAAAAGGAAATATCATAACCATTTGTTGGGGGAATAAATTTGTACAGGGAAAAGGCTGAGGAGTGGGATTAGATTAATTGCAGTTACAGAGAACTAGATTGGACTTATTTAGCTAAATGGTCCCTTTCAGTGTTGTGTACATTCTCTGATTCTGTTCTACGGTATCACTGCTTCATTGTTGACCAGTAAATAACCTAGAATTCACACTCTTAACACTTTTATTGGTGAGGCAGGAAAGTGCAGAAGTTGGTGATTCAACTCTTTAGTTACATGCTTCCTGACTATAAATATTTCAAGTTGTAAAATGATAGTCTGAGGATTAAAATCATTTTTTAGACTTCAGATATGGCATATGACATATGGCAAATATGGCATTTCTGAAACCACATCTTGAATGCCATTTTTGCTGCTGATCTCCTTATATAAGGATGTAAATGCATTGGAGGCAGTTCAGAAGAGATTTACTAGATTGATACCTCAAATAAGAAGACCGTCTTACGAGGATAGGATGAACAGACTCAAGTTTGTTTTCACTGGAGTTGAGAAGAGTGAGGGATGACTTGATTGAAATGTATAAGATCCTGAATTGTCTTGACAGGGTGTATGTGGAAATATTCTGTTTCCTCTTCCAGGTGAGTCCAGAACCCCGGGTAGTGTTTTAAAATTGGCAGCATTTGCTGACACTGACAACTGCAGGCAACCACATCTGCGTGCTCATTTGGGAACGCATGGTTCCAAATACTGAAGTCATTGAGTAAACTTTACATGGGATGTCATGCACAAATGTGTTACTACACATTGCAGGAAAGCATCATGATTTTGAACCAGGGTTCAGTGGGGAGGGGATGCTGAATTTTTGGGGGCTTTAGAAAGAGATAACACCTCAGAGAGTAAGAAGGGAAGACGGTACAGAAACATGAGTTGGGAGTTACAAGAATAGTCCAGGGTCGGGAGGCAGGCATGCCTTCTGTCTCCCTTCAGCATTCCCCTGCCTCTCTCACCACACTTCAGTCCTCTCCCAGACCTGGATCCCAACTCCCTCAGGTCCTCCTGATCTCTCTCCACTCTCCTCCGCACCCCACGATTCTGCTGCAATCCCACTTCCTCTCCAGTCCCAATTTCTCCGTGTCCCGAATTCTCTCTCTCTCTCTACCATCTCCACCCAACTGCCACATCTCCCAACCAAAATCTGCACACATACAATTTAAAGTGGTGCATAGAAAATTAATTAGGGGTTATGCTTTTAAGACAGATGAGAAAATTTTTTGTCTTAGAGGATTGTGAGACTTTGTAACTTTAGTCTTCAGAAGGTAGTGGAGGTGGGATTATTGAATAATTAAGGCCGCGGTAGATTGATTTCCTTGCCTAGTAAAATTTAAGGTTAACAGGAGTAGATAGGAGTGTGGAATCAAAATACAAACAGATCAGCTGTGATCTTATTGAATGGAGCAGGCCTGACTGGCAGAATGCTCACTTCTGCTCCTAATTCGTAAGTTTATATGAGACTAGTTTGGATATCTGATTTCAAATCCTGACCAAATGAAGAGGTATCAAAACTCTGTCAGAACAGATTTCACACAGCACTTCGTGTTTCTGATGTCTACAAGGTCATAACTTCCTCTAATTAAGAGCTGAATGGCAGGCTACAGGCTCAGGAAATGAGAAAATTATATTGTCATTTTTCTAAGGCTGTGACACTTCAGTAAGCTTTCCTCTCCATCTGAATTGTGTTGTACCTGCCTTAAAAGTGTGTTATGAACTTGGATTTCCTGTACAGCAGTAGTTTAACACTGGCAACACCTACTTATTAAATGTGCATAGAACTGTTCAAAACTGTTCAAGTAAAGCGCTCCTTACCCCCAGTCAGTAACTTAGTTTGATGACAGTAAAATGTTAAAAATAACTATTTTGAAGTCTTCGTCAAGGTATTATCACAGCACTTCCCAAACACACAATTCTTATAGCTTAGGACAGGCTCAAGGGAAAACCAACACCTGCAAATTCTCCCACAAGTCATATACCATCCAGCCTTGGAAAGATATTGTTGTTCTTTCATTGTTGCTGGAGAAATTTCCAGAAATCCCTACCTAATTACACAATGGAAATATCTTCACCACACAGCTATAGCATTTCAAGATAGCTCACCACCATTTTCTCAAGGACAATTGGGGATAGGCAAATAAGCTGGCGCTGCCACCAACACCCACGAATTAACTGAAAAAAAGGCAGTGTGTGGTTTGATGGCTTCCTTCAAAAACCACACTGCAAACCTACACATCACTAGCTGCTGCCACATCCGGTCTGCTCGTTGTTTACGCATGACTTGAATGTCACAATTTCACCTCGTTAATAAGACTTTCAGTGAGCAAATAATGCAGCTCATCATTCATTCACTTCCTCCTTCCCTCTCAGACTCCATCAGAGAAATAAATCTGAGCAACAAAGAACAATCTGCAGAAACAGAAATTCAAGGGCCTCAAGATGATTGATAATCCCATAACCTGTAGCTTATATCAGCTGGGCAGCTCGGAGTTGGTGCTTCAACCCCACTGATGGTTCAAATGTTACTAGGCCAAAACGTCAACCTGACTAACTCCAAAACGTGAACTCACCATTAGCTGGTACTTCTTAAATTCTGAGGAAAATGACACATTTGTTATTTCCAAATACAACAGGATCTTAAATTCCTTCTGGGTAGTTGTCCTTTCATCAGTGAAAGTGAATTTAATGTGATAACATTAAAATGGAAAACTGCACTTTTTCCCATTAAACTTCAAGAAAATAAACAAGAAAATAAGGTACATTAAACTCTGTCTGGAATTTACCGTTGCCTGCCAATTTACAGAGAAATCTCTACAACCTAATGTTGTACAACAGCCCAGAGGTTCCAAAGTGCAATTGGATGTAACAAAAACTACATTCTTCTTCAAAACAAGCGACGAGGACAATAAAAATGTGGCAGAAGCCTTGGAGGACATAAATGGGTTAGACACTGACCTTCACCATTGGACCTGGCATCAAATCTAACTTGAACTCCTGTTTGTAACTACCCTTGGCTGGAGATCTGCTGCCATGGTTTGCTATGCATGTCAGTCTTGCACTAATGTCATATACCCACTATATGTTGTCAGCAACTGCTGCAACATCTGTCATCCAACTACACCTAGGTAGACTCATCTTTCTGCTGCCCTCCAATTTGCCCCTCTAGGAGAAATTGCTGTAGCTTCTCAGCTTTAATTAAATACAAGTTATTTTCTGAATGTCACTTTTTTCAAAAGATTTCTTGTAGCTCTTGCAATTTCAAGCACCTGTTCATTTGTTTTTTGGTCTATATATGGAATTTTTACAAAGACCTCGGCTTCCTTTTCTCAAATCTTTATTTATCGTCCAGGTTTCTGAGGCATACAGCAAAACGGACAGAACTGGCATCTTACGAGCCTTTTACCTTGTTTCAAACAAGAGTTTACTTGTTGTTAATATATCTTTCATCTTCACAAAATTACTTTTAGCTATCTCTGTCCTTTTAACTTCTGCATCATGTCTTTCATCGTGTTATTATTTGACCTAACTAGTCAAACTTATCTACTTTTTCCAACATGACACCATCCATTTCAATTTTCACCTCAGTCTCTTCTAGTGTCTTCCTTTCAGTGACCATTGTTCTTTGTTTTGTTCATGTTCATGCTCAATCCTTACTCTAAAATTCTATATTTTACTTGATCTATGACAGTTATAGGGTCTCTCCCGATTCTGCGAGTAGCACTGTGTCTTCAGTTTATCATGAGATTGTTATCTTATTGACTGAATAACGTTAGACACTGCATATAGCCTTGCTGCACTCCTCACGTCACTTAAAACTTACCCAATTGTCCCTCTTCTAGTCTAGTGATTATTACCTACTCCCAATGTAGGGTCTGGATAAATGTACATCTTTACTGTCAGTATCAAGATTGGTGATTAACATAATCAAACACATTTACACGATTCATAGACTGTGACAATGTGCTTGTTATCACGATTGTTCTTATGATAAATATTCTCATGATTTTCATGTACCATACTTAGGACTAAAAGTCTTCTGTGTGCGCTGGTACTAAGGCTCTTACAGGAAGGTTGATCAAGCAAGCTTAATCCTAGTGGACACAAGCCAACAATTCAAAATGATCCCTCAGTTAGCTCTAACGGGCAATCTCAGGCAAGTCATTTGTTGAATTACTGACTTGAATGAGGAAAATTCTGTCATACAAGAAAACCTCAAGCGGAAAGGAAAACATGCAGAATGGGCGATGGAAAATACATAATCAAAGCCAACCATGTGCAGAAACGACTGAGCATCATTCTAAGTTTAATTATAAATGCACCATTTATACTAACTTAATGATGTAAATACTGGTTAACAGTTCAATTATTGAAGAAACCCTTGTGGTACAACTGTCCCAGTTTAGCACACATTGCATGTTCACATGCGTTCACATTGTCGTGACACACTGAGGTAGGGCATTGGAGATTAAGCCTCACTACTGCTGGAGTCATCACAAATGTGAAAAGATTTAATCAAACTATCCCAAAGTCTCCAAAACACGAACCCAATTTTTGTACTGAACAAGAAAATGACTGTTTAATACAAACAAAAGGAATTTAACCAATGGCAATTAAGAAATGTGAAGTCTAACTCATAACTTTACAACTTAAACTCTACCCATTCTTAAATTTTTCCTCTCACATTCAATAACAGACAGGATATAGAAAAGGAAAAAAGTTCAGGGAAACACAGTTAAATTGCACCAGTCTGGACCACAGGATTTGATGCGTTGTTTCTTTCGGTTTACAGAACAAATAACCATAGTGAACAAACAGGCCCTTTGGCTCGCCAAGAACTGTCCCAACACATAATGCCTTTCTAAACTAAAAATCTTTTGCCTCTATACGGTCCATATCTACAAAAGCGCCTGCAGAGACTGTGAGAAACACTACATCGGACAAACAGGAAGGAAACTAACAACAAGAGTACATGAACACCAACTGGCCACAAAAAGACACGACCAATACTCACTCATTTCAAGCCACATGGACAAAGAGAACCACGACTTCGCCTGGAACAACACCAAGATCCTGGGACAGGCTAGGCAGAGACAAGCACGAGAATTCCTGGAAGCATGGCACTCCACGAAGCATGCTATTAATAAACACATTGAACTCGACCCCATATACATTCCATTACGAAGGAAAACCGGAGGTGAGGCAATCCATCTCAACGGACCCCAGAGTTTAAAAACCAGGCGGGAAAACACACTGACGCTTCATCGGAGGCTGCACTGAGGATGTTACCAAGCATGGTAACAAAACGTCTGCAAAACAACAAACCAGCTCGGCGAGCCAACCAACCTCAAGGTCCGTATCCCTCTATCCTCTACCACTTCATATATTTGTCAAAGTGCTTCTTAAACATTGCTATTGTATTGGCCTCCATCACCTCCTCTGGCACCACATTCCAGGCACTTCCCACCCTCTATGTAAAAATACCTGCGCCTCACATCTTTAAATTTACTGACTTAAGTTAAAAGTATGTTCCCTAGTAATTGACATTTCTACCCTGGGAAAAAGACACTGACTATCCATTCTATCCATGCCTCACAATTTTGTAAACTTCTATCAGGTTCCCCCTCATCTTTTGATGTTTAAATGAAAAGGAACCAAGTTTATCCAGTCTCTCCTCATAGTTAATACCCTCCAAACCAGGCGACATCCTGTTAAACCGTTTCTGTACTTTCTCCAAAGCCTCAACAACCTTCTGATAGTGTGGCAACCAGAACTGTATGCAATATTCCAAAAGTGGCCTAACTGAATTTTTATACTGTTGCAGCATAACTTGCCAGTTTTTATATTCTGTGGCCTGTTTGAAGAAGGCAAACGTCCATTTGCCTTCTTAATGATTTTATCCACTGGTGTTGCCACTTTCAGGAAACTGTGGCCCTATATGCCTTGATCGCTCTGTATGTTGATGCTCTTAAAGATTTCGTCCAATTCTTTTTTGTCTTTGCTGTTGATACAAGGTTGTCTCAAGGATGCTCTCTTTCATTCAATGGTCGAAAATTCGTCCTTTCACTGTCTTTGATGGTGTTTTATTCTTCCTTCAACAGATTTGCAAATAAGGGGAGTGGAAGGCAGCTAAAGGCTACTGGGAACTTTCTGGCATCTCCATACGAGGCAGAGATCAGGCCATTTGATTTTGTTTTTGATGTTTTCTCTTTACAGGTCAGTTCATTCTCTGCTTCATTGGCCCCACAGAAGCCATGTCATCTTGGCAGGAGTCAATTAATGCAGCGTCATCCAGCAATTATCCTCCTAAATTCAGACTGTGAAGTTACACACTTTGGTAAGAAGAATGGAGGAGCTGAGCATTAGTTAAATGGAGAAAACCTGCAGAAAGCTGCAGAACTGGAAGATTTACGGTCCTTGCATACAAATCACAGAAAGCTAGGATAAAGGTTCAGTGGGTAATAGGGAAGGCAAAGTTGGCCTTTATTTTAAAGGGAATAGATATGAAAATAGCAAAGAATGCTAAAACTACGCAAGATAATCATCAGACAACATCCAGAATACTGTAACAATTTTGGTCTCCTTATTCAAGGAAAGATACACTAGTATTTGAGGCAGTCCAAAACAGGTTCACTAGTATGGAGGGATTTCCTTATGAGGAGAGAGTGAGTAGGTCGGGCCTGTACTCACTGGAATTCAGAAGAATAAAAGGTGACCTTAGCGAAACACGTAATGTGGCTCGACAGGGTAGATGTTGAGAGGCTACTTTCTCCGGTGGTAAAGTCTAGAACCAAATGGCATGACCTCAGAATAAGATGGCCAGCTATTTAAGGTTTAGATGAGGGGGAATTTCTTCTCTCAGAAGGTAGCGAATCCGTGGAATTCTTTACTGTCGAGGTGGATTGTTAAAAATATTTAAGACCAAGGTAGACACATGTTTTAGCAGTAACGGAATAAAGGAAAAATAAAAACAGGAAAATGGGGCTGAGGATTATCACTTCAGCCATGATCCACTGAGTGGCAGAGCAGACCTCAAGGGCTGACTGGCCTGCTTTTGTTCCTACATCTTATGGTCTTCACCCGTCAACTCCAGGGTGTCTGCTTTTGCTCTCACTGCATCAGGGGAAAGAAACATTGCATACAATGGAGAGTGCTTCAGCATACATGATATTTAAAACTGTAGCCATCTCTTTACAGTCTCCTTGGTTTAAAGGCGTACCTTCCTTCTTTTTTATTTCAGTCCACATCTAAACATAAAGGAAATAAAAAAACGACGTGGTCTTTAAATACACATTTGAAAGGGCTGCCAAATTATGGGTTATTTTCTTAAGAAGGAACCTTATGTCAAGTTCTGAATGTGTGGTTGTTGCCAGTCAGTTGGACAGCCCTGTGTTTATTGTTGCACTTTCCTACTGGCACAGCTGTCTCCAGCATTTTTCTCTCTGTCCACCAATAATCTGGCACTCTTGTATCAGACTCGTATCATATGGTTATGTTGTAACAGCTGTACACTCACCAACTGATGGGAACCACTGCGTTTCTTGGATAGCTGCGGCGAGCTGCTATATTGGCTGGACACTTGCTTTCTGACTTCAGCTGCCACAGTCCTGCAAAGAAAATGACAATTTGTTTGAATGAATTTCATAACATGAGAATTTGCCAACTGCAAGTTCAGAACTGAGTGAGCTAACAAGGTCGAGCTCTCTCGGATGATAATTAAAAGTTCTGACATAAACTCACAGCAACCAGAATAGCTCTTTGTGAAGCTTTCACCCTTCTTTGCTAGTTTGGCCATTTAACATAGCATTGCTTAAAAACCTCTACAGCAGCCCAGTCTTGAGGAATAGGGCAGTGACCATCTTCCTCTAAACGGAATATCATGTTGTACTGAGAAAGTGCAGTACAAGTACTCTTCACCTTTCCCTTCCCGAGACTCTGACTGAAACAACCTTATGAGGACCATAAACACTGGCATAGAACAACTGGGCCAAATGGCCTGATCTGTGCTGTTAATTCCATGTTCTAAGTGCAACAAATCGCAGCACAGGCAAAAAAAACCCCAATTAATCAATCACTTATTTAACCATCAAGATGATATCCAAATCAATGATTCGCAGGGTTAAGGTCATAATTTACATTAAAAACAATGACGGAGGAGGATCAAAAATATCACTTAGTGGATAACAGTCTACTTGGCTATAGATCTGCACCTTGCCCCGTCATTACATTAAAAATTCAGCCATCACTTCAAATGGATCAAATAATTAACAAGGGCTTAACACAGTTCTACAAATGGCTAATAAAATGCATACTTGCTAATTACTCATTAATTAAATTACTTGGAATCAGGAAACACCATGAAAATGAGAGCCAGGTTTTAGCACCAGAGCAAAACTCAAAGTCAAATGCTTCTTTGGCATTCCTACTCTGTGCTGTGTTGTGTCTCCTTTTCAGTTATTTGTCAACTTTCCAGAATCTGTGCTGGATCTGGTCCAGATCTAAGGACAGTACTGCGGTATCGCCTCTATACAGGCTCAGCCAGTTCAGTTCCAATCCAGTCTCAGACACGGCTACAATGTCTTTAGAATCTATTATATGCAGTTGTGAAGAGCCAAAGTCTGTACTTGATACAATTTCCCACCTGTGTCAGGACGTTATCATATTATAGTGTGTTTTTCCAATGTTTCCTTCTCAAGAAATTGCTCAAATTTGCTGTACAATACATGGGTGCCAGCAAACATGTAGTATCATATAACCAGGTAGTTATTCTTTCACATTTAAGCCTTAGAGTGCCAACATTTTGTAAAGACCACAGCTAAACTTCAGGTAATCTTCACAGAAAACCAACTCTTGTGCTTTCTAACAGGCTTCAGCAATAGTGGGGAGGAAAGCTACTTTCTACAACAGTATTTTAAACGTTATAAGAATACCCCACAAGTTTCATCACACTAATCGTGTTACATGTAGTGCAAGATTATCCTGATAATGACTTCAATAAGGATAGATTTTCTATCCTCAATGGATTTGATTTGCTCCAGATCCATCTCCTAACATCGATCGTCCAACTTAAGGGGAGATGGTGGGACAGTGGTAATGCCACAGGACCAGTAATCCAGAGACTGAAGCTCTGTGGAAACTGGTTCAAATCCTACCATGTGTGGAATTTAAAATCAATTAATAAATCTGGAAGTAAAAAGCTATTCTCATTAAATATGACCATAAAACTACCTTCAATTGTTGTAAAAACCCAACTGGTTCACTAATGTCCTTTAGGCAAGGAAACTGCCATCCTTACCTTACAAAATCCAAAAGAACTGCGGATGCTGTAAATCAGGAACAAAACAAAGTTGCTGGAGAAGGTCAGCAGGTCTGGCAGCATCTGTGAAGGAGAAAACAGAGTTAACGTTTCGGGTCCGGTGACCCTTCCTCAGA